ACTTCTTTAAGTACTCTACCCTTTGTGTAGGAATAGTACAGTCTGCAGTGTTTTAAGTCTCTCTCTCTGGTGCTCTGAGGCAAAATAGATAGAGTGTGCTAGATATTAAACTTGTATTGACTGTTTGTGTTGCTGTGGTACTGTGTGGAAGGATTTGGCAATCTGGGTTTTGTTACACACTCTGAACCATATCCAGAAAGTCCTTTCTTCAGATTTGCTGTTTTATAGGCAACATACAAACATGTTTCACCACAGCCAAAATCTTGCAGGCACGGCAATAAATCACACAGCACACTAGGCAGCTGGAATTGATTGTGGATCTTTGGGGTGGAAGAATCACACATATTTTAGAGATTTCAGTGAGTTACAGCAGCATTTTAAACCTCTGTCCTTCTGTTCTTAAGTTGTGCTCTTCCACCTCTCAGCAGACTGGGCTAGACTTCACCTCTGTTCCAGCCATGGTGGTCTGACTTGGGTCTGCTGAAAGCCTAAGGCAGCACGCTGGTTCTGCAGCTCACAAAGCTGGTGTGCCCAGGTTTGGCTCTCAGTGTGCTGGCAGTGTGAAAGCAGCAGTCACAAGTCATTTTCCTTGGCAGCAGTCACAGGTCACCATTTTTCTTTGGCAGCTACTGTGGGGAATGGCTGGCTGTGGAAGCAGGACCTGGGAGCCATGTGAGCTAAGGATGTGCTGATGAGCCAAAGGGTCTTGCTGGTGCAGGCAGGGAAGACAGATTGGACTTCACAGCTGGGAATGAGCCCAAGAGCATAAAAGACAAACAGCTCTGCAGCAGCAGTCATCCAGCTCCTCTCCAAAAGGATCCTGGAGGACCCTGGATCCTGCTCTGATACAGTGGCTGCAAAGAATGGAAATGTCCTTCCACCTCTTTCAGAGACTAGAAATGGATGGCTGGCCCTAGCCAGGGAGCACATGAGAGATGTGAATTGCAGTGATGAGAAAGCAGGAGGAAGGTGCTGACAATGGCTTTAAATCACCAAGGTTTTACCATTCAGCTAGGAAAACTGGGTTTGAGAGGAAAGAGAAGGTCCCCAAGAGAGCCAGAGGAAAGAACGAAGGACAAATAAGGGCAAGAGGCAGAAAGGACAAAGACAGAAACCCATGGAATTCCTACAAGAAAGATCACCAGTGTAAGCAGTGTGATCCAGAGGGCACCTGTGTGAGCAAACCTCCCCTCCCAAAGTTGGTGGATGCATGGACCCAGGACAGGGCTGCAGACTTTCCTCACTGCCATGCCTCTTCCCCTGCAGCTGGAGGGCAACCTTCATGACCAGAAATAGAAGCCTCTTTCCCCAAATCTGTCTCCTGTGTAACAGCTGGAGTCATCCTCACCCCTGGTCCAAGGAGCTGGGATGGCTGATGATATGCAGGTGTTATTAATAACACAGGCTGAGGAATGCTCCCCTGGAACTGGGGCTTTCTGCATACAAATGCTTGAGGCCAGAGGGATCTTCAGCTCGTCCTGTCTGACCCTACTGGTAACAGGGGCAAGAGATCTTCACCCCATGTCCCCTGAGAGCCCAGCAAGGTATGTATGGCCTTCAGCCCTGCTAGGAAGGCATAGGAAGGATCAGGGCTTTCCTTCCCCCTCTCTTGGGGAATGTGTTCCAAAGGCTAATCAATTCCACACCTAAAAATCTGTTTTCAGTTTGAAATTCTCTGGCTTCAGCTTCTAGATCTTGGGAGTTTTGTTTTTGTTTTTTTCATTTTGCCTTTGCTAGTCTCAAGGCTATATATTTGTTTTGACTGAAAAACTCTTGGGACAACTTGAGAGCAAGTGGCTTTATAAACCAGGGAAATGCTCACTAGAAGCTAGGTGTGACCATTATCATGTAGCATCCAAGGTAACATCCTCAGTAGTCCTAGGAAGCAGAGGCATTTACCATGCTGTCCTCTGACCAATACCATGCCAGGACCTAATCAATCCAGCCCAAAATTAGTGTCAGGATGGCTGAGGCCATGAATGCAGTTGATTTCCTTCAGCTTGCTAATATTGGAAAGCTGCCTATGGAGAGAGCCAGATGTGCTAATAAGGTGGGCTCACCTCCAATTCCTAGGCAGTTCACAGACACATTGCTGTGGTGCTTTGCTGAGGGAGTAAGAACCAAAAATTTCACATTTGAGAGAAAAGACCTGATGAAAGGCACAGCAAAGTGCTCCACAGAAATAGGGCCTATGCTTAATATGAATGTACAATTTTGTAGCTAATTACCTCCAATGCATTTTGCAGTGGCCTGGGAATCTCTCACTGACCATCTGCACTCACAATTACCTACTAGTTTTTCATAAGTGTCTTAGTAAATAATTGATGGGTTTGCAAAGAGGTCATCAGTCATCTGAGTTTCCTTTTTCCCTTTTTTGCATGCCTTTTGCCTTGCATCAATTTGAACAAAAAAATATTTATTTATCAAGAAGCTTGAAAAAGCCCAAGCACTGTTTCACTGTTCTATTAACCTATCCCTGAACTTTGCTCCAGCCAGAGCTGTACACAGTGCTGGATTCACCTGTGTTGCAGTAGGTGTACAGAGCAGGACAGGCTCTGTGCCCTGGGAAAAGCAGCCCCAAGGACAGTGCTGTTCACATCTGCTCTTTTGTCGAATGCATCCCCTGTTACACCTCATGCTTTTCAGAGAAACCTTCATCCACCCCTCAGCACAGATGATGATGGCATCTCTGTTGCTGGAACAAAACCAGCTCACAGCTCACAGTTCCATTAAAGTCAAGCTGCTGCAGGAGACAAGTTTGGGGAAAAAAAAGAATTAAAATAAATAAGTTTGGGTTTCTGTTTTGGGAGCAAATAGTTAAGGGCTTCCTTTTGAAGATGTCACATTTCAAATCTGCTAAGCTGCTGCTCCCTACCTGATCCATGGGCCCTTTACCTCAGGTTCCCTGCAGAGAGTCTGGGCATTGGGGCAATATGGAGGCATCCTTGAAACTGGACACAAAGTACATCTGAATGTTTTTATAAGTCAAGATTGTAGCTGTTCATTTGTAAGGAGAAAAAAAATAGAATCAAGCAAAAACTTTATTCAGACATATCTTTTTATTAAGAAATTTTTAAGTGCATACACATTTATGTGAGAAATTACAACAATATAAAAGTGTTTATTTTCAAAATTTTCTATGAAAGGAGTAATTTCAAAAGCATAATATAACTCCTCCATAAAAGCTGCCTTACAGGAACACAAATACAAAACCCTTTTCACATTATTTGGGAAGATACTTCTTTTTACTTAATAAAAATATAAAGTACAGTATTTACCACATTCTGACAACACAGAGTTCTTAAGGAATGAAAGATGGGAGGTTCATGCAGCCCTTTTGTCATCATACATGTTTTCTTATCTGTGGCAACCAAAGTTTCATGTTTTCAGACAAGGATTATCTTGGTGGGATGTTGATTAAGAAAACATAATCAAATTTTAGGTGATGAGTTTACAAAAAACCTTGACTGCTATAAATCACATCACTCAGAACAAGTTGCCAGAGAAAAGAACCTTCTAGAGGCTAATAAAGGGAAATTGGCAACAAAAATTTCTATAGGAACTGCATTTTCAACAAAATTTGAATATTTAACTTTGAAAAAAGCTTTCATTGGAAAACAAACAGTCACCTTTGCTCATACACCTTAATCAAAAACACATCGAAGTCACCCTTCATTTCATTCTTCCTCAGGCAGAATTCAGATAAGATATTCATACATAAAAGTATAAAGCTAGTATAAATAAAAAAAATGACACAGCAATAAATACTATCTACTCTTAAAATTGGGATTTGACAGCTGCACATTGAAAATACCCACGTGATGATTTCACATTCATGGAAGCTGCTTTTTCAGCATGGTTCAGTGTTATCTTTCCCCCCTGTTCACATGTGGTCACTACCTCACTCCCATCTCCTGACGCTTCCTTTCCCTGGCTCTGTCTTTGGTGAGCAGTTGATGCAGGAGGAAAAGCAGGGGCTGTCCCCAGGTGAGCTGCTGCCAGGGCTGCTTCTCAGCCTGCTCTGGTCGTGGCATGAATGGGGCAAGCGTGGTGCCCTGGGGCAGCCCAGTGATTAATCCCTCTGCTGCAAAAAGCAAGACTGCTCTCCAACGTGCATCATGCAAATAATGTCAGGCTAACAGCAAAGCTTCCCACTCAAGCTGAATTTGGTCCAAAGCAAGAGAAAGCTTTTAAAAGGTTCTCACTTAAGTCTCTGGCCAGGTCTGTGTCACCTCTGCATTCATGCTGTGCTCAACCTTACCCAGGGGAGGGAGGGTCACGCTGCTGGCCCCTGAGAGCAGCCCCAGGCTTGAGTGGTGCCAGGTACAGAAGTGAAGCATCACCAGCACAGGGGTGCCAGGGCCCAGGCTCTGTGTGGGCTGGGGCAGACAGCCCCCAGAGCACCACACAAACACCTGGCTGCAAAAGGTCCCTTGCCTTCCATGGAGTGCATTTTCCTCCTGCTGCTACTCATGCATTTTCCCCAGGACAAATGCCCTTGCTTTAGCAGTCCAGCCCTGCAGCCCCTAGAGGAGAAGGCTGACAGAGCCCCCCTTTCCTGCAGCACCTCCATTGCCTGGGGATACCATCCAGAGCCGGGAGCCTGGCTTTGGCCGGGTGCTTCAGCACTGCCCGTCCCAGTGCTCCTGTCAAAGCAGTAAGGTGGGGTTGGCAGTTCCCAGGGACCTGGCCCTACTGGTGCTGACCCCAGATGTGCTCCCTGTTCATGTGGACTGCAGCAGAGCACTAGCAAGGCTGTGCAGTCACATCTACCTACCCCACCTTCTCACCAGAATGTCAAAGTTTCCCCTGGAACAAAACGGTCACGGCCCCTATCATCATGAGCAGGGCATGCTGCTGAATCAAAATCAGAAGATTACTTAATTCTCCACTTACTGCAATGGGAATCAGACCTCAGGTTGTCCTTTGGCAGAAGTTATGTGTGAAAGATACACTTTCCCGGGTGACTTTTTCTGCAGTCATTCTTGTCTTGGACGCTCACATGTCCACCTCTGGCAAACCACTGGCAAATGCAGGTGCATGTGTGGGACAGGGAATGGAGCCTAGGATATCAAACACAGTCCAGGGAACATAGAAAAAACTCTGGTTTTCTCATAAAATTTCTTTCCCCTTCCAGGAGAGGATCTGATCCTATCTGATAGTAAATCAAAACTCCAATCTCATCAAGTACAGTGGTACCAGACCTTTCAAAACACAGACACAATATACTTAAAGCACCAGGCTGATAACAATAACAAAAGGAATGTCAAAATCACAAACACAAATATTTTAGGCACAGCAGTTTGTTTCTGCTTTAAAGCAAATGAGGTGAGGTGTTCCCAGCTGAAGGCCTCTCTGCAATATCCCTGTTTTGCAGAAAGGAAAAGACAAGATTTTTACCTGAATTTACATGGAAATAATGGAGTCCCTGGATAGCCAAAGCACCTCTTTGGCATTAAAGATGCCTACCACAAAAAGGAGTGTGAAACACTCCTCTCAGTGCTCCTGACACAGGCTGCAGGGAAGAGGGAAGGTTTGTTTTGAATCAACCAGCTTAAAAAAGACAGTCTTACAACATTTTTTTTGTTTACAATACAAACACAGATACATACAAACACAAGCATTGTGCTGCACAAATGTGCTTCCTCCCAGATCTCAGTGCACAGCATGACATGATTAGTGCAGTGCTGCAGATGTCTTTCCATACCATAACAGATATTGTGTATACAGGAAGGAATAAGGAGAAAGAAACTTCTGGCTTAAGGGATCGGTGCAAGGAGTGGTGCCTGTCCCAGGCTGTGCTTTGCAAAGGGAATTCCAGAGGCTATCCTGTTCACCAGCAAACCCATGATATCTGGGGAACTGTGAGTGTTTGCCTTCATTTCCACCTCTCCTTCCACAAACTGCACAGACCTTCTCTTGCTCCAGGCATCTCTTTTCTCCAAGATGTGGCCAGATATCCTCTTCTGGGTATCTCCAGAGCAATCAGGGATGTGATTGCCCTCAGGCAGGTACAGCATCGTTGGTGAAGGGTGAATAAATCTCAGCCTACTTCAGTGCAAAGCCAGACAGGCAAGCTGAAGTCGCCTCCTGTGGATGGGTGGGAGATCCCTGGTGCATGGCAGCACATCTGGCTCCTCCAGCAACTTGCAACATGGTCGTGTTTAATAACCCATTCCTTTTTTTTTTTTTAATATATCATCAGAAACACAGGAACATAGGAAATGCCAGATGACATCAGAACTGTGTTGTGGCTACTAATACACGCAACTACTACAAACCAAGTATTAGCACCTTGCAACACCAGATGTGTATTGATCCAGCCACTCACAGCTGTCAGCAAGGGTTCTGATCTTCAGAGAAGGGCTTTAGCTTAATCACTCACCCAAAATATCTGTAAAATGCCACTCAAAGTAATGTTGTCCACTGTCATCAGTCTGATGCTTTTAAGCCTTCCTATGTTCTTGGCCTCTATGACTTCTGGAGGCAAGGAATTCCACCACTACTTACACAACATCATTGCACTGTACAGTTCATGTCCTTCTAGGTTTTAAACTCCAGGAGACATGCATGAACCAAAAGAAAGTTAAATAAAGCAGGACCTCTACACAACAAAGGAAATAAAATATTTTATAATAACAGGGTTAGTTTAATTTGGTATCTGCCCCCAGTGCTAGGTAATAAACCAACCTGTATAAATTCATATTTTTCTCAAATAGTTACATCTTACTATATAAAAATAGCACTATGAAAGCAAGCCAATTTGTGCAAGGGGAAAAAAACCAAGCAAAAAAAACCCCACCAAAAACAACCAAGAAAAAAGCCTTTGGAAATGCGTGAAGCGTTGCTTTTGTGCTGCATGTTAGCAGTGAAATGTATTCATTCCCTAATACTGGTTATCTGCTCTCTGGGTCCTACAGTAAGAAATCCTGTAGACGGCTTACAATGCTTGCCTCTTACATCTTGAACCTCCTGTTGATGAAGAAGAAAGTGAAACACTATTAAGGTTTATTTCAGTTGCAAAACCTTTGCTATCAGGCCTAGTCAAACAGCAAATCTGTGTCTGGACTAACCCAAAGGCAGCCCCTCCAACCAGTAATTGCTGGGCATTTTGGGAGAAGTTCTCCACAAGGAACTACTGGGACCCAGCAGGGCAAACCCAGCAACGGGAGTTATATTGGGCAGGTTGTGCTCATCACAGTTAGTAAGGTGTTCAGAACTAACACAGTAGGAAGGCTGGCTAGAAAGCTTATTCTGGACTTGAAAGCCAGAGCAGAGAATTATCGGTGGGCAAAGAAACTCGGCAAAAAATACAGCAGGGAAAGGAGAGATTAATCATTTGTGAGCAGCCCCAGTAGCAGAGCAAGTGGCACTGGGAATGCCTCCTCTACCTGCTCCTATCCCACAACTCTGATGGAGGGCATGGACTGCAGCTCCAGAGAGTGCCAGGTCTCTGTGAGGATGGAGGAATGTAGAGGGCAGCCCATGCTCTGCTCTTGTTTGGCTCCCACCATGGGGTGGCTGGAGAGTAGAGGCAGCCAGCGTTCTGCCAGCCAGAAGCCACCCTGAACCTCCCTGCCTGGCACCTCAGCTGGTGTGAGCAGCTGGGGGCCACATCAGAGCTTGTGGTGACCAGCTGCCCAGGGAAGGTGAGGTGACAGGCAGGCAGGCACTGCACAGTAATCCTGTGAGGCCTGAAGGGCTGAGGTAGGGAGCTCAGGTGGGGTGCAGACAAATGGAGTCTCCCATGTTCAGTGTGAACATGGTACCCAGGAGAGTGTGGGTTAGGCATCAGAGCAAAGTGCAAGTGTCTCATGTGTATGGTTCACCCAGAACAAGAAGCTAGTTTGTGCTGGTGGCCTCCAGGTTTTGCCTGAAGTAACGTCTATTCCTGCTCCAGGCTGGTCTTAGTGACCTAGATGAGGTCACTAAGACTGAATTACAAGTGTCAGAGGGTAAACACCAGGTATTCAAAAACTGAGGTCTCAGCACATGTTGACAAACACCTCTTCCAATGCCTGCTGGACAGCTAGGACTCTGTGACCACAGCTAGAGACTGTGACTCCCAGAAGAGGCAGTCTCAGAAAACTCATCTATGCACAAAGACAATGACTAAACCATGAGGAAAATTTTTCCTCTGAAGATAACTTTTCCAATATCCCACAGCAGTAACCCTATTTCTCATGGTGCAGAAAGGCAGAAAAAAACACCCTTGTGAGGAAGAAAAACCTGGGACATCCAGAGCATTGGCATATACAACACCATTCTCTGGAACTTGCCCAGCTTCTCCCAAAGGAAAGGCATCAACCAGTCACCCATGCACCACATCATGTTGTCACCACGCGGTGCTGCATTTCTCATTAAAAAACACCAGTGGCAAATTCACAGCTGTTACAGTTTAACTCTGTCAGTCTGATATTGGAGCTAAAATAAACATGGTTCCCAAACCTTTACCCTGTTTTTGACTTTGTCTCTGCTTCAGGTTTATTTTGGTCTCTTTATGTGTCCATTTTCACATTTGTAAAATGGGAAAATCATCCCACATCTGTTGTAGATAACTTTTCCCCGTTTTGAGAGTTTCATCTATATAATACACTTTTGCTGGAAGTGGAGAGATGTTATCCTCAACAAATATGGGGGGAAATGGAGGTCTGGATAGGCTAATATATTTGCCCAAGGTCCCATAACATGGTCAGTGGAAGAGCAGGGACTTCAACCTGAGGTGTCCCAGCTCAGAAACTAATGCCTCCTACCATTCTTTCTCCCTGGAGACTTTAGTGGTGTTGCACGGGAAGGGCAGAGTGGGCCCCGTTTCTTCTGTTGCTTTTTTTTATGAGTGCGATGACGTGGTCTAAATTAAAAGAAAAATACAAAAAAAGACTGCCATAAATTATCCATATACAAAGGCCTCATTCACATTTATCTTATGGTCCCTTCACATCTTGCTGGCAGGGTGCAAATGTAACATCCTCCTTCACATAACCTTTGTCTGAGAGAAATGTGAAACAAGTAAAAATGTCCTGGTGGAAGAACATTTGCAAACTCTGAGGCCAGAACAGCCCTTTTACCCAAAATACCAAAGCTTCCTCAAATGCCTTCCAGAACTTCTCAGCCAGGAGCCTCACCATCCAAAAAGTTCCCCCTGAGGTACAGAGGAAGCAGAGGGGGAGCTGGATTTCTGGCTTCCCATCCAGCATTCCAGCTGACATCAGCAAGAACCAGTGGCTACTCTGAGGGGGTTTAAGGCATTTGGTGTCTTAAAACAAGGCTGTAAAAATAATCACCCACATTGTCCTCCTTTGTGTGGGGCCGTCACCCAGCACACGCTTGGTGGAATACTGGGAGGTTGTTCTGGCAACTTGTATTTCATCTGTTACTTACAAATTACATTAGAAATTAGGAAGAGCTGCCACACCAGGGTTTGGAAGGCAGAAGCAGGGCTTGGCTGCCAGCACAGCCAGCCCATACACAGAGAGAGTTTCTTTTCCTTTCTCCCAACTGGCTTAATGGAAAGATTTTTCCCATGCGACTTTGTTATCTTCTCCAAGTCCATCAAATCACTCCTGCATGAATGCAGTAGCCACTGAGCTTAATGGACTCCGGCATCTTGAAGCGAGGGAAGCTCTGAAGTGGGACTATATTAACATGACAGTGGATGAATGTTGAATGATGTTGGCCACAGCAGCTGCACAATGGTTTTTAAAGCCAGTTAAGGAATTTGGATTCCTGACAGCCTGAATGTTTTACTGATGTCTCATGTGTATATTACATGGAGATGTGATGAATATAAAGCAATAATAAATGCTAAGCAGAATTAGCGAGCAAAATTCCCTAGTAAAAAACATTTCTGGTTTCATATTTAACTGTATTGGACTACTATTTTAAGAACTTTTCCTTGCCCTTAGCTGAAGATTATAACACTGAAGATATTGAAGTTCTGGTAGTGATTAAGATGTCTTCACAGTTTGGATTCTACTTAAGCAATTACAAGAGCCCTTTCTAAAAAACGTATTGATTTTATTCCAGAAAAATAAATTCCCATGTACAATTGGGTTTTCATAACATGAAACAATTAGCCATTTTATTGCTAGTGCATATAGGGTAATGTCACATTTCATACAATTTCAGTACAAGTGAAAAAATATAATATATGGCTGATTGAAACTGATAGCTACATTAACATTTATAGATCTATATAGATTCATTTTACAAGCTGTTAGTAGTTTAGAGGGATATCGGTGTTTTAAACTACCAACATTCATATGGCTCCAATTCAAATATATGAATTGTTTGATGCGCTATAAATATATTCCAAAGTACATTTCATTGAAGAAGTCAAAGCTGTGCACTAAAATATATCAAAAACATGCCTGTGAAAATGCTACAGAGCCCTGACTGTCTGTGGAGCATGAAAATGCCACTGGTGCTAGCATTACTTAGTTGGAAAATGAACACAATGCCATGATTACAGGATTAGGTGATGGAGATATATGCTTTCTGTCATCTTATTTCATAAAGCTGGGACCAAATTCTCTCCTGCTACTGAATGTAAACCAGGATCAATCCACCAAATTGGCAGAATTGCTTTTGTATCAGCATTTGGTAAACAAAACCCAGAATCTGGCTGAAGATCAGGCAGACTCACTGGTTTCAGTAGAGATGGTCTCAGATCTTCACTAGTGGTAATGAGATGTTCCAGCTGAGATGCTCCCCTAAGTCAGACAGGCACATAATCGTATTTGCCCAACCTTGCAGATTCCTAAAACGCCTCCTAAGTCTCAGGTTGGGGATGATAGCAAACAGAAACTTCAGCAGGTTTTCCCAGTTTGTAAAACCAAGTGGCTCAGGTCCCTAGGATATTCAGCACAGGCCACATCCTGCTCTTAAGTTCAGTCATGCCTAAACCCAAAGCCATTCTGGCAACATTAACCTGGGTTACCACTGCAGAGAATTTGTCCAGAGGACAAAAGGGCTGAGTGCTGGCAGCAAAGAAGGCACTGAGCATCAGATGAGATGGGAGGAGCTGTCAGGGCTGGAATCACATTGACTTAGTTAGCTGGCTTCCTTCCTTCTTCCTCCTCACTTTTGACCCCAGTGCAGTCCCCAAAAGGGACACTTGGAGGAATCTCTCTACTTCTGGCGGTATTTTGCCCCTTGCTTATTGTAAAACCACTGGGGGACAAAGAATTTTTTCTTTTTTTAACCCTGACCCTTTTTTGGCAGATGCATTTACAAAGGAAAGTGGAGACTGTGCAGGTACCTGTGCCCTGCATCTGCCCTGGGGTCATACCTTCCCCAGGAATACTTTGTTTTTGCAAATGATTGGATTCCAGCCCTGCCTTCACCCTACAGATGTGGGAGGACAAGGTTCAGCAGGGTTACAGCACAGTTACTGTGGGGTGGGAATGTGATGGCAAGGGTGGCAGGGATACTGAGTGCACAGGTAGGCTAGCTGGCCAAAATGCTGCTGCTGGATCAACCTCAGCCCAGGGCTCTGGGCAAGCAAGGGAATGCTTTGTACCATCATTTGGTTTGTACCATCTTTCAGTGCTGGAAGGCTGGAGCCCTCCCCTGTAGTTCAGCACAAAAACGTGCTCGGTGCTGCTCTTCTCAGCATAACATAGAATAGAGATGGGCTGAGTCCACCTCAAAGTAGACATGATCAACCATTTGCAAGGGGAATAAAAATAGATTTAGAAAATCTGAATTTGCCAAGTGTGGCTAGTTTTCCCCTGGTATTGTGGGAAAGAGTTATTCAAGGTAGCTCATCGTGCCTTGGCCAACATTAACAGCATTCCACACTGGGCAGCAGAGAAACAATTTTTAGCACCAAGAACCCCTAGGCCTCAGCTGCCTGTGCAAGCAGACACCCAGTGTAACATGGAGAAGGGGCTCCAAAGACACCGGAATGATACAGATTCTCAAGTAATCGTAGTTTGGCTGGGGAAGAAAGGGCATTAAAGGAAAAATTTTCCTTGGGAGAACAGCTTTTTTTTTTGAAGAGGATGAGTTCGAGACCCCAGAACATACTCATTAGCACAATTTTTGCCCCAAACCCTGGCAAAATTCTTAGTTTAACATCTAGGATATATTAGAAACCGTTGTTTTAATGCAAATTATGTCAACTCCAAACCCTTCTTTGAAACAATATCTGATTCCACAAGTACTTTGTCCACATGGTAAAAGCCAGCCCTTAATGTTCTACCCTTTAATAATTCAGGATGTTAGCTGTTAAGTCCATTTGTCTCTTGCCTTACTTGTTTAAAGCTTTCTCCAGGTATTCCTGGATCCACTTTAACTTGGGATCAATGCACACTTGCTTGCTGTTGCTCTTGAGCCTTGCACTGCCAAAAGAGAAAAGTCAGAGTGAGTCTGGTGTGCAAAGTTCCTCAGCCCGCACCCATCCCCCCCACTGTGCCTTATTTTCCTTGGGTGCCAGTGCTGCTTTTGGTTAACCCATGAAGAGGATGAGTTATTTCTCCCATCCTTGACCTCCCTCACCTATTATAAATATCTCTGCCTTGGAAACCATCTGTTTCCTTTGACAGGCTCATGTGGTCTCTACTGGGAATCATGTGAGAGTGGAACAGACACAAAATTTGAATCTAAGACTTCCAATTCATACCTGGACTGTGAATGAGTTCACTGCCAACAGAAAAAAAATCATTTGGAAATACTGACATGGTAAATTAATGTAATTTTTGCAAGTAATTGATTAAGAACAGCTTTTGAATTCAACCCAAAACTGAAGATGCACATGTTTTGAGGACAGACACCTCATGGATGTTCTGAAAGAAAGGGTGTGGTCATGTTAGCTTTTTGTTTTATCCCGAGACTGAATTAACAGGTTGCAGGAAGGAAGACAACTGAAAGTACCATAGTGCCAGAGGCAAGTTTCGCCTCACGTTTTCACTCAGCATTGGAAACAAAGGCAGAAACCCCCTGAGGGGTTTCTCCTGGATGTCCGAACTGCACTTCCCAGAGCAAATTTATTAGCTGATTTGAATTCTATGTGAATTTGACACTTGGGCTCTCTGTGTTTCTCTCTTCATTCAGAAACAGGACAAATAGCTTTTCATCAACACGTTTCACTCTCCAGGGATCTCAGGACCTTGAAAGAGCTGTTATCTCCCACATTCCCTGCAGCACCCTGCTTCTGCCCCAGCTGCTCCAAAATTTCTCTCTTAAGAGCCTGCATGCCTTGGGAAAGTGCAGAGAACAGCAATTTTATAGAAGTGCCCATATGAATGAGTTCAGTACTCGTTTAAACATTTTCTGGATGAAAGCCATAATGTTCCTCCCTTCATAAAATGAAATCTGCAGAATATAAAACGATGGTGTAAGAAATAAGAGGTCAAAAAGGCTCCCTAGTCTGAAGTTATGCAACAACACAGTTGTAACATAAACACATCAAGGATCCATCCTGCAACCCCTGCGCCAGTACAGAGATGAATGGGCCTAATTCAGATTTCCCTTACAGCAGTGCCAAGCTGGAGCATTTCCAGTTAAGTGATACCAACAGTGTGTAAGAATGGATTTGCTGATGTTAGCAATGCCTGGGAATTCTTAAGCTGACCTCACAGGGTACAGAAGCAAAAGCACACGTAACCAGTCTCCAGCCACATTCAACACAATTCCTCTCACCTAATAACTGAGACACTGATTTCTTCAGTCATTCATTTCTGAGCCTGTCAGCCCCTGTTCCATGTGCAAGGAAGAGACATGGGAAATTGTATGGAATGCTTAACCTGGACTAGTTTAGGCGTCTACTTGCTAAAAATGCTCATTTCCCTGTACTGAAAAGTAAGGAATTTAATGTGGCGTTTGTAGAAATACACATTGACAGGAGTTCACTGGATTTGGAGAGATGATTTCCAATAGAGTGAAAGACAAAAGCCTGCTCTTAGGCTTTTTGTTCAAGTATAACTCCCCTTAACTAAAAAGGAAATATACTTCTGAAAAAACAAACAAACAAAAACATAACAACAACCTAAACCAAAACAAAAAATCCCAAACAATAAACCCACAAAATACCTTCAAGCAGCTCTGTTTCACTTAGTTCTCTATTCTTGAAAATGGCAGCTTTTAATTTATTTATGCCTTCGTTGTTTAATGAAAAATGAATCAAGATGAGAAGTTAATGTGTTACTTTTGATTTATTTCATCTCCTGTTTTCATAAAGACCTAGTTTAAAGTCATATTTCAAGGGTATTTGGAGGGATGTATTAAGTACCTTACTTGTCAAAGTAACAAAAACAGAGTCAACAATAGGCTCATATGTTCTGTGTGTACCCCACACAAACACATTTGGGTCAGGAATGGGCAAGAATGTGAGATGTTTCTGTTTCTGCATTTTGTGCTCTTATTTATCTCTAATTATTATAATCCTATGTTAAGAGATAAATATATACTTTATCCCATCATAAATGTTGTCATTTTCTTGAAACTACTCCAGAAAATTCGAAATCAACTAAAAAGCCTTAGCACTGGGATTCTTATGACATCACTGACAGTCCCAGAGCACAAATCCATGCACTAGTGCATGCTTGCTGCCAAAATTGTAGGTAGAGATTGGAGTTAGTCACAGCTGGTTTTGCCATTTTTCATAAAGGAAATTATTTCTCAACTGAGGCTTACATTTTTCTCACTGCCCTCTGCCAAATCCTAAGGCAGAAGCACATGATAAAACGTGTATGATATACACAGAGTGGTTTAAGACAGAAAAAACCCTATACTAATAAAAATTGGTTCATGAATGGATACACGCTTACATGCATTCCTGATCAATCTCGTGAAACCACATCAGTTTTCTGAGTGCAAAAGTTTTGGATGACAAAAATTGATTTTTACAGCATTTGAGTTGTAAGAGGAAGGGCTCAACATATGGGTCAAAGACAGAACCAATAATGGGATCACTGCACAGAAACCAAACCCAGTCCCTGACACCCTCTTATAGAGGTTAACAGAAGTTGAGAGTAATAAGGTTCCCTTTCAATGAAAATATGAATGCTGGGTTGTCTAATTTTTTTTTTAGAAGGATTTCAATTTTGAGAAGGGGTCAGCCATGAAGAAGTGAACAAAAAAGACCTTCCTAAAACATACACACACAAATCTACAAAGACAAACAAACAAGCAAAATCTCAGTGTTTCCTGAAAATTAGGGTTGCTTTTCCAGCAAAAATAAAGAGGCTATTTTCCATTGGGAGACCATTTTTCTATTCTGCTTCAGTTTACTGAGTCAGTAAATGCCTGGCAAGCATCCCTAGATGAAGCCATCACATTTCTAAGCTCTGTACCTCCTGCAGAGGACACATTAAACACAGCAATTCCTTTTGCTTGTTTAGCTCCACTCCATGGACAAGTGACCCATTAGAAGACTCAAACGGTTTTGAAGTTTTTACCCCAAGGTGTAAAGCTTCACATCCAAGGCAATGGACAGCCTGTCTGACATTCCTGCTCACATACCCACGGGGGAACAGGACACGGGATCACACAGTGATAGGAACATCACAGAGAACACAGCTGGGAAACAGCAGCTGGGCTCCTTTACGTGGGGTGAAGCAGGGTCCAGATGTCTCTGACACAGGGGTGAAGAGATGAATTGGGAGTCATGGCACGAGGCAGACTGAAATTCAACTACCAGAGCAGGCACCAGCTCTGCGACCCTTCTTTTTGACACCCCAGATTTGCACCCAGTGGAAAAGAGCGAGAGACTTACACGATCTGAAGTGAGCAGTTGGGTGTGGAGAGGATTTTGAGGTGTTTAATATTGGCTCTTGCCACGTTGCTCTCGTAGAATCGACAGGGACATCGGTAAGTCAGGCTGACAGGTTTCTCTGCGGGACAAAGGGAGGGAAAGGACACGTTACCTCTTGCAGCACAGATACACCGGTCAGGGCTCGCAGCAGCAGGGCTCACAGGAAAAACGCCCTCCAAATATGCAGGTGGGGAAAAAAAAGCAGCCGAAAAGCTGTAGCTTTGGGAGAGCATTTGCCCACAGCTCAGAGCACAATTCATTCAGCTCAGTGACCAGTCTTTCAACAAGGGTGCGCGGGATTTTGGAAGACAAAGAAGAGGGAGAGAAAATGGAGATAAGTAAAATTGAAGAGATTAGAATAAGGAGCCGCGCCATTGTACAGGGATGCTCCCCGTAATTAGACAAGATAAAGGCCAAAAGAGGAGGCACTTGTCCTCGGTGTTGTTCTACTCAAACGATTTTGACCCGAGGCCAAATTAGAAGGTAGCCAGAAGAAAGAGATGAATTCCAGGGAGTTCAGATCAAAACGGCTCGGCTCAGGTGCAGGCTTTTCACAGGGGACTTAGTGGCTACGGCAAAGCTCTGGTTTTGCAGGCGTTCCCAGGGCCCAGCTGACCTTTCCCCACCGCAGCCAGCCCCGAGTCCCAGCAGAGGTACCCGCACAAGGTGCGGCTCAGAGATGCCAGATCCCAGCGGTTTCACATAAAACGCTCGGAGTCTTTTGAATTTCTAGCCTGCGGCTAAGTAGGGCAATCGAGGAGACAGTTATCAGCCAGGGCGTCCTCAATACACTATTCGGGGGCCACCAGACTGGATGAGAGATCTGTCACTAGCATCACTAGGGACAGAATTAAGTTTAACCTCTTAGGCTAAAAATCTGCCATGTATATGCATGCAGGACTGAGAAAAGCAGCCTGGCTACCTGGTTTCTCTATATGGGACAACTTAATTACTAGCAATCAACCTAAGTAAGGTCTTCATCCAGACTGTAAGTTTGAGAGCTCCATGCACAATAAAACACAAGCACAGAAGCCTTGTCTGAAAGTCTAAGAGATGCCTAAGATTTTAAAGAATTTCTCAATGGAGCGGCTTCCAGCCTCTGGGAGGTATTAAATTCATACACCTAACCCTTAAAATCTGGCTCAAGCTGTAGATGGTCAGATCTATATCTGGCAGGGCTTGAGATCCCATATGGCAATCTGCCATCCTGTTTGTTTAGCCACACAGGAATACTTACAGCATCGAAACCCAGTTCCCTTTCAAGGCAAATGGGGAGATAAAGAGCCGGGAAGGGCTTGGAATTCCTAAACAGCTGTCTAGGAAGGTGAGAAAAGAGACAGGTTTTCAAGTGCAGCTGATCTACATATATTGCACATTTATCGATGCCTGTCTCTAGCACACATAACCACAGACAACAGGGTGAAACTGGCCCGTCCTGAGGAGGGAGCCTCCTTATTTTTTCTGGTGTCTCTACCAAAAGATGAGGCAGAATTAGATCCCACAAGAGAGGAATTAGTAGGAATAGAGCTTCTCCTGATGCACACCTGAATTTGGACTATAAATTGAAACAAATGTATGACTTTTCTATCAGTTTTCTGCCACTCCAAACAGTGGTTCCATCTATAAGTTAATAATCTGCAAGGGGAGGAGGAAGGAGGGCTACAGAGTGAGCCTCAAGAACATGGATTGGACTGGCTAGTGCTAATGTGCAAAGGAGTGAGGAAGGCACTAGGATTTCCCACTGCAAATCTGTGCCTGATAGCTACACATCTGTGAATTTGTATTGGAAAGGGAGGCTGATACTGAATACAGTCACACAGCTCTCAGCACAGCTGCAGTGATAGTGTCTCTGCAAGCTTGTCCCAGCCAAGTTTAAGCCAGCTTTAACTTAAACAACGTGCAAGAGATGAACTGTTCAGATGCATGATTTGATAAAGCAATCCTGTCCTCTCCCAGACTCAAAGTGGGATTTTCAATCCCATACCATTTGAAATCAGGAGCAGAGAAAGTTTAACCATGACTAAACACATCTGTAAGTCCCAAGGTTGTTTCCTGCCCAAGAAAAGGCATCTAGCACAGCAAGGAACATGCAGTGGAATGATGAACACCCTCCCAGCACAAGAATACCTTCGGTATTTTTTGTGTGCCTTTCTTGATGGTCAGGAGCAGGCACTGAGCACCAGGGATTGGCACCCACTGTCAGTTCTCTGTATCCCCAACAGGGAACCAGTGACTCCTGCTGCTGCTCCTTGTCTGGCCGTGCTATCAACAAGGCTCAAAATTTGTGCATGTGGCATCTTCAACACATGAACACCTATCTTCCAAAAGTAGGAGAGGGAAGGGGCCGTTTGGAGGCTGTAATTTAGGAAGAGGACATTTCTGGTCTTAATCTGAGGCTGACAAACATTCCTTATCTCTTCAAAATTTGAAAGATATTGTTGCATGTACATTAGAGCTGATTAATTAATCTACCAATTTGTACTCTGAGTTCTCTGACATCTACCAAACACAGCACAAGCTGAGGCCATTCTCTCAGTACAGCAAATTAGTATAATCTGTTAATTGCCTTATTACATGAAAACATACAACTGATGGCACACAAAGCTTTTGAGACCTTTATCTGTCTGGCACATTTGGTTCAAATGGACGAATAGAGTCAAAAGTTACAGAACAGCCAGATGCTAGTTTGACATCTCAATGTTATTCCTTCAACCTAATTTTACTTAGACAAAACGAGAACATCTCTTTTGGCCGCAACTGGAAGTTTGTGGTTTGGAATTTTTTAAAAAATAAACAGTTTTATTGTTTTCCAACTCAAACTGAGTTTTTTTGGCTCTGAGCACCTACTTTTGCTGACAAATTCTCTCTAGAGACAAAGCACACACAAAGTGGCCACTTGTCAATGCTGGACAATGCCTATTTCATCCCACAGGGATCTGCTGCTCTTTACCCACACTGAGACTGGACAGCAAGGGAAGAAGTCAGTGCCAGTTCTGCTGCAAAGTTATCAGTAACATGCTGCGTGGACTAGGAACCTCTGGATGCTTGAATAGAGAGGGAAGCTATATCCAGTAAAGCAGGCTGGACACAAACAGACAAAACATTCGAGGAAATCATTTTACTTATGTTCAGCCTAGGGTACATTTGTCATTATCAGGAGATGTTTGATACTTTTTAAAGTGTAGAACAGCTCCATTTCCCTGGAAAGCAAGGCTGGATAGACAGACAGAGCTTTACCAGGTAACGAGGAAGAATTCAGAGCTCACCTGCTCCCCAGCACAAGGCAGCCCTGCGAGCCCTCATCTGGATCAGGGCTGAGAGTACTTAATGACAGGCAAAGTAGGCAAAACCCTCCACTCTTAACACCGAAAGACGGTGGGGTCACTTTCCTTACATTAGTTTCTCTCCAGTCCTTGTGGGCCATTTCCTTCCTCAGGTACCCAGGTCCCCACACGCTTATCCCGCTGCCAGCAAAGGAAAGCAGCCGCGCTGGGGGCGACCCGAGCTGCAGCTGGGCAGCTCTGCCGCCCCCCAGCCCTGAGCAAGGGCTGCCAGCGGGAGACAAGGGGGAGGAGAGCCCCGGTCCCTCCCTGCCTCCCTCCAGACCTGCACTCGCCCCCAGAGACGAGGGAAGCCCGCTCAGGTACCCGGGCACCGGCGGCCACCGCTCGGCAGCTGGTGACATTGGCAGCCGGGGCTGGAGCTGGCACTGCCACCCGTGGTCCCCCGGCTCTGCCTTCGCTACCTGCCGCTCTCGCTTCCCAGCCCGCAGCCCCGGGCCGGTGGATACGGCGGGGGCTGGAGCTCACCTGCCCGGGATGTTGGAGCCTCTCCGGGGCAGTGCCGGTTCCCTGTTCCAGCGGGACGGGGCTCTTGTGCGGAAAGGCATCGGGAAATTTTCGGGGAAAATTAACTCTCTCAGGCTAAACAAGGAAGGCACCGAAGGGCATCCTCTGCCTCCCTGGGTGGGGAACACCCAAGTTTCGTTGACCAGAGTGGGAGAACAGAATGGGAGCGGAGGTTTGAAAACCCAGACAGAGCACATTCGACAGGGGACAAGAGATGGCAAATCTCTGCCAGCCGCAGGAGGAGAGTCCCGAGAGGTTGCGGGCAGGACCCTCGCCCCGCTCGGAGCCCCGGGGCACAGGGTCCCCGCGACATGCGTGGTCCGAAGGCAGAGGCTTCAACAGAGCACAGCTGGCAAAGCGACCCGGGCAGCTGTGCTGCCAGCGGGCTCCGGGCGCCCCGGGCGGGACGGCGGGGACCGGCGTGGGGCGGGCGGGCGGTGGGACGGCGCTGCGGAGCGGGTGTGAGTGCGCCCAGCGCCGCCAGCCCGCCGTGCCCCCCACCGCCCGGCACGGCAGCTCCCCGCGCCCCCAGACCGCCCGTGCCCCGGGGGTGCGGTGAACTGCCGAGAGACCGCTCTGGCTCAGCTCTGCCCCGACTGAGGAAAGATAGGTCGCGATAGGGGACAGAAGAGGAACCGAACAACCGCCTGTTTCTAATTTCTTGTAACTTTTAGGGTAGGGTTTTTTTGTTGTTAGAGGGAAAGTCGATATGTATATTTAGCAGCCAAACCACCTCCCTGCAGACCGAGCGCTGTTGTAAGTCTTCCCCCAGACGACTTCAATCTGGGGCGAGTTTGGCAGAGAGGACCGCTTTGGCCAGATTTTTGAAAAAAGCCAGGGAGGGATGGAGGAGAGCGAGGAATGGGAGCCTGTCTGCTTCCAGCTTTGCACAGCCATCGCTCTTCTGGCTCACCAGACGCATCTGAGCCGCGGCCGGGGCCGAGCCGGGAGAGCGGTGCAGCTGCGAGGAGAGGGGGAAGAGCGGGGATTTCAGCGGGACCATCGCTCCCGGCAGGAGCGGTGCGAGCGGCGCGGCCCCGCAGCTCACTTACCCTCCGAGAGGGAGATGACGGCCAGGGCGAAGGCGAGCAGCGCCAGGGCGCGGAGGTCCATGCTGGGCAGGCTGGAGGACGCGGGCAGAGCTGCTCTGCTCGTCCCGGCAGCCGCGGCGCTCTGCTGGCGGCCCCTCCGCCCCTCCCGCTATAGAGGGGCCGGGGGCGGGGGGAGGAGAGCCAGGGGGAGTAGCTAGACTGTGATTTATTGCCCGTGGCATGTTATTACATCCTTCCTCCGCTAAAAATGGTTGGAAAGAAACCAAAAGAGCGAGGGCTTCTCGCTTCGCTCCGTCAGCCTCCCCCCAGGCACAGCGTCTGTCCCCCCGGCTCCGCGCCCCGAGCCCCCCGCGGGACCGGCGGCTCGGGGCTGCGGCGGTGACCGACCGGTATCACCGCCGCCCCATCCCGCCCCAGCCAGGGGATGTTTCCTCACCAAACTGTATTGTTTCCTCAGCAAACTGTGCCAGCCCGGCACGGCGGCTCCTGAACCAGAGCTGCTGGAACCGGGATAGCGGTATGGGACGCATCCCTTAAGTGTTCACACCGGGGAGACAAGAAAACTTCCCCTTCACTCTCGTGGGCGCGAATCTAGATTTAAACTGGCGCCCTGGCATCGCGTACAGCGCCTCGTACGAAGAATCTTAGCAGAAGTTTATGTGGGCATTTGAGGAGAGAAAAGGCAGAGAGGGAGAGAGAGGAGAGAGAGGCTTTCAGTTTTTGCCTCGTCGTGTTTGGCCCTAAACACCACCTCTTCCCTGTGTTAAATCAACCCAGTAGTACATTTGCTGCCAACATTCCACTTCCTTTGTATTGCAGATGCCACTGGACTCCCTGGCACCTCGGCTGAAAGCCCTGGTAGCCCTGCAGAGCTCAGAGGCCAGGGGTGTCACTTGCCCTCAGCTATTACAGTATTGTCAAGTGTAAATGACTTAAGCATGGCCTCGCTGTCTGCAGCCCAAGACCACAGGACCCCGTTTGTTGCCATTAAAAACTGAAAATAAACATCGAAGCTTTGATTGAATTTGGACTCCTCTGTCTGCATTTATTACTGGCTGGGCCAGTGCAGGGTCCAGTGGGTGCAGCTAATCTTTGTGTGGAGATGCTTAAAGGACAGGGCCATGATGCCACTAAAAGCACCTGCATGGTTGTTTTGTACGTCAGGTAACTGCTAATTCTCTCAGCCACAGACCACAAGGTTGGACACAGAGGTCCAAACCTCGCTTCTTGCTAGCCTGTGGCAGTTTCACTGAGAAAAGATTGTTTCTAAAGGCCAGGAGAAATGCTTGCAGTGATGCTTCGTGATGAACAGGATCCCTACCTGACGAAGACACACATCCAACTCCATAAATCTAGTTATTTGTATTTCTTAGCGCCTTCTTACCAAAGAGCACTGAATTTGTTTAAGCTGATTTTGCTCCCAGATCCCTCCTTTCTTTTAGGTGAGGAAGCGCAGTAGTGCACCAACTGGGTGCACTGAAAGGACCGATAATTTTAACCAGTGCTGTGAGCCTGGCTACTGCTGCCGTGACAGTTGTGACACTGTGCAGGGACAAGAGAAGCTCATCGTAATTGCAAACGCCTCTAGGAGTGCCCCCCAAGTGCTCCCACTGGCACACGACGACATCCACACTGCACTTAGCAGAGACGCTGCTATATCCACACCACACTTAGAGTCACAATTACTTGGAGTAGTAACACTTAAAGCAACAGCGTGTCTTTGCTGCTGCTAATGCTGCAGAGAGAAACATCTCAAGGATCTAATCAGAGTGGATAAATGGGGAATGAAATCAGAGCCAAATCTTTGTAGCAGTCTCCCCCTCGGCATCCCGAGACATGCAGGTGTGTTGCAAATGATGGTGAAAACTAGCTGGGTTCTAGGAAGTGTCTGGACAGACCTTCGGAGCTGACTCGAAGACTCGCAGCACGCAGATCAAAGGGCTCCCTGTACAACTCGGGATAGCTGAGTGAACCAGCAACAAGGCAGGAGGATACCTCGGTCCCCCTGCGCCTCGTCTGTCCTCCCCCTCCGCCACAGGCGCCTCTGCATGGGAGATCAAGCCTCCCGAGGAGAGGGGGCAGGAGGGCCGGGACACCGCACCCGGCACCATCCCTCCGCAGCCTCCCCGACTCCCCCAGCCAGCCCGGGAGGGGGATCCCGGCGGGGCAGGGAAAGAGTCCAGCTACTTGGTAAAGCCCCCGGGAGCTCGGCGGCGAGGCGACCCGCCGGGGCTCCGCGCCGTGTGTCCCTGGTGTGCCCAGCCCGGTGCGCTCCCCATCGCCAGAGAGCGAGCACCGCGCCGGGCCGCGGGGTCATTTCGGCAGGGCCATTTCCCCGGGCAGCACGGGCCGTGCCCGGGCGGTACCCCGGGCGGTACCCCGGGCGGTATTCCCGGCGGTATCCCCAGCGGTATTCCCAGCGGTACCCCCGGCGCTATCCCGGCGCTATCCCCGGCGGTATCCCCAGCGGTATTCCCAGCGGTACCCCCGGCGCGATCCCGGCGGTACCCCCGGCGCTATCCCGCCGCTATCCCGGCGCTATCCCGCCGCTATCCCGCCGCTATCCCGGCGCTATCCCCGGCGGAGGGGAGGTTCTTGGTCGGAGCGAGGGACAGCGAGGGCCGGAGCCCGCGCCGCCCCACAGCCCCGCAGCGGGGCTGCTCCGCGGCTTCACGCCGTCACCCTGCTCCCGGGCGAAGAACGGGTCTCCAGGCAACAATCGAGCTCTTCTGAATGAACTCCGAGCGATTTTCATGAGCGACGATTTTTGGTTTTTCCTCCCATCAAGCATAAACTGCTGCCTACGATACAACAGCTGTGAGCTTAAGATTTAAACAGCATAAAGTAACAAAACAAAACATCAAAACCCCTTCTCAATGTGAGTCTCGTGGTTTACCTCCCCGCCCCAAACTAGAGCTAGGGACTCAGGGAGATCTGAACGAATTGAACATTTAAAAGGAAAGTCAAATGACTTGCCAAGTGTTAAACTCTTTGAAAAGTTTGTTTCAACTTAATGCTAACTCCCACTGAATTGACCAGTGTTTATCGGAATGCTCAAAAAATCCAGCCGACATCCCTTGATGATCTGGGCGACTGAATATCTCCCTCTCCCCCTTCTCCCCTCAAACAGCTGCAGCCAGAACTCCTTAATAGCCAGTAAATTCAATCTTTTATCTGAATGCTAACAAAGAAAGGATGAATTCAGAAATCTTAAATAGACCTTCTGTTGACTTCAACACAGCTTGAGACAGCCTTTTTAAATAATAAAATATTCCAAATTTTTAGTGTGTATCAAATTACATTTCCTCTTAAATCAGGAGATGGCAACATTTCTGTTACTTAGAATTTTAGACAGGTAAAACACAGCAATTAAATCATTATTATCTGAAGCTGTTTAAAACTCCCATAGATTATGTCTAAAACAAGCCATTTCTGGCCAGCAAAACTAAGAAACTTTTGTGTGAGTCAAGAATTAAATTGAATGTCCTCAGGTTGAAAAATAGTAACCTTGTTTTCACCTTGTTCTCACCAATGCTATTTCACTGAGATCTTCCATAAAGTTTCCTGGACTTATTATCTGTTACTAAATGCACCACTTTTTTTGATGGACAAAGTGTTCACAGAGAATCTTTATTTAAGTGAAATGAAGGTAAACAGTGCATCTCAACAATTTCACATAAAATATATTACAATAAATAACCTTGGGTTCTAGAGTTAAGGAAAATTACATTTAGAAATCTGTATTTATTAGGCTGTTGGATTGCACAATAAAGATACAAAATCAACCTTATCTCTCTTTTTGAGTATCTACTAGCCCCACACAATAATGACTACAGCAGTTTAGTATCATGTCTAGTTGCAGATTTTTTTTCCCAAGATTGTTTTTTAAAGCATGTTTATACAACTTATTTTCTTATTGTATGATACTGTAACAGGAAGGAAATGAAAGATGCTAAAATGTTAAAATTGATATTAGCTACTGAATTCTATCCTTAGTGTGCAGAGATAAGAGTACTTGGAGATTTTAAGTGCTTCAATGTTTCTATGTATCTATATTATTTCATAACTCTGAAATTCTTTATCATATTAAAAAAATCAAAAACAACAAAAAAACAACCCAACCAAACCAATGCATCCAAATAAAATTCTTCCTTTAGTTACTATATGACCTTAACTTGCTTCCATCTTACTGTCATTTTTGTTTTGCTTAAGAATTCTTTTTTTTAAATAGCAGTCTTACTCTTGCAATATTCTTACAGAATGTTTTTCCCCCAAGACTATTATTCAGGTGAAAGCCTGAAGACTTTGTCATCTTGCTGCATATTCAAGCAACAGCTAGAAAAGGACAATTGTAGTGTGGCTTGAAGATCTTTCTTGACTCCTGTCTTTGACCTTCTCATTTCAAGTGCTACAACTATTTTCCCTTCTTATTGCCATGGCGGGATTCCAAAATCATCCTTTAAAAAGGTCCTGTGGCAAACAAGACTTATAGCAATTAAGTATTTTCAGCAGACCAGTATAAACCAAGAAAAGTAATTTGTTGGATTTGTCTGTAGAAAGAAAAAACAATTTCCCCAAACATAGAATTGCAAGAGATCTGTTCTCATAGTAGTAAAATAGCCTCCAACATTCATGTACACAGACATATCCATAATGTATGTTGGCCCTGAAAGATTCCTTGGAGGGCAGAGGGAGAGATCAAATAGAGGTCAAGTGAGTAACTGTTTATAGATGGTTAACTAGAATGACAGAGAACTGTAGTAGCTGCTTTTGTAGCAGTATTTAAAAGTTTAGGCTTGCTTCCCTGGGAGTTTTGCATGATTTCAGTGGATATGAAATCGGCCCTTAAGGGCAGACTCCATCTCTTCTTTTATCCCAGCAGAGTACATCCCAACTTGGTCTAACCTTTCATGAAGAAACTCACAACGTGATGAATTTTGCTTGGGTTTAAGTTTTGTTATGAACATAGCTCTTGGCCTCACTGCAAGGAGTTTCCTGAAAGCTTGGGGTAAGACAGAGCCAAGTTTGCTGTGTTCTGCCTCTCCCTCTGAGCACCAAGCTGACACCAGGGAGGGGGTTTTATTCCAAGAGTGTTTCAAACTGTGTGGCTTTGCTTGGGTTTCGCTTGGACTGTT